TACTTACAATTAAAAATACGAAAAACAAAATATATGTAGTGAATCAAAGTTTAATATGTATGTATGTGCTTAAACATCCAATCAGTTGAAACAGTAACAGATAAGACGTGGCGTTGCTGAGGTAGGATACCTACTCGGTGGTAAACTTTAAATATGAATGACAATTTAAATATTTAGAATACATATTAATATCCTATTATTCTAAACCCTTGATTTTTTGCGTCTTAAACGAGAAAACCTGAATTTTTAAATAAATATTATCGTCTGATTCATCAACTCCTTTATAAATTACGTTATCTATACTATAGTAAGTTTTAAGTTCTCCAGTTTATTTTTTAAGAATTTTATTATTCAAATAAGACGTGTTCTTGTTATGCGATGTAAGTATAACACTTTTCATCGAACAATTGTAGATATTAGAAAATATTTGAGAACGTACATCATATAAGATCCAATTTTTAGGAATGTTAAAAGTTTTCATTTCCCCTTTCCCAAATTTTGAAAATAATTTTGAAAATTTTTCATCGTTAAAACGAATACTAATTTTAAAATTTGAAACGAGTTCCATAAAAATGAAGATTTAATAGTTTGTTCAAGTATAATTTTTCTATTACCTTTTTTTATCAGTGGGAGAGTCTGACGAAAATCACCTCCTAAAATAATTAATTTGTTTCCAAAATATTTTTCAGTATTACATAAATCTCTCAACGTTTTATCTACAATTTCCAATGATTTTTTTGGAATCATTAAAGCCTTGTCCCAAATAATTAAATCGACTTTTCTTAACTTTTTGTTATCTGACTCGAATTCTAAAAATGCACTCTCTATATTATTAAGATCTAAAGGAAGTCTAAAAGTTCTATGACTGGTCATCCCCTTTGGAAGCAAAATTAATTCTATGCCAGTCCATGCCATTGACATTATTTTTGATTTTAAGAAATAAAAAAATAGATTAACGTTTTCTATAAGTAAGTTTTTCCTGACCCTCCAGGACTATCTATGAAGAAAACATCATTTTTTTGTTCGCAAATAATATGAAATATATTTTTCTGGTCATTATTCAAACTTTTATACATCGAGTTAAACATTTCTTTACTGAAACGTATTTCATCATCTATATCTTCTTTTTTACTCTCCATTTTTTGGTTTAGGTAAATTAAAGCATCCACATGATTTATCTTCTGATTCTAAAATTTGGTTAATATGTATAAGATCTAAATTATCTTTATTATTAGGCGAACCCTTTGTAAAAAATTATTTGTATTTATTCCATATTTTATCACCTTAAACGTTTTCTGAAATTAAAAACCAATAAAAAATTGTCTTAATTGATATAGAAACATAACAGCAATTGCTTCTTTAAAAATATAATCGATTTTTTCATCATTGTCTATTAAACCCATTGCAATTGCAGTATCTTTAAATGTTTCATAAGCTATTTCTTTATATGTTCAAATATCTTTGAACAATGTTAAACCATTTTTTTTCCTTCAAGATTAATTTTTAGTTAAAGATTACTATTTGAATTTCCATATGTTTGAATATCGTTGTTCGAGAAATTAACTATAACGTAAACATTAAATAAATCTCAGAAGCTTTTAATTTCAATACCTCCCATTCAATAAGTCCCATTTTTTGACATTATGTGAATATATTTATCACTACTTTTTACATTTTGATAATAATCGCTTCCTACTATAAAGTCACAATTATTTTGCCATTTATTTACAACATTATTCATTACTAAAGAACGAGCTCTTATGTGGAAATCTTCGTCACAATACAGAAAATAAGAAAAAGTGCTGAATAAACAATTTTCGTCCCCTTTCACGCTAACTTTTATATTGTTCATTTTTAAAAATTCCAAAAACATTTAGTTTTTAACGATTTCTCTAATTTACAGTGAGTAATACTGTGAAGACATTATTTCCATATTTGTCATTGAATCTGAACATGAAAAATTTTTTCCAACCACTTTAATCAATTGATAAAGTATAGAATGCATAATAGTAACAAAAATAATATAAAGTGCATATTATATAAAATTTGAATAATTTATATGTGATTCAAGTAATTGAAACTCTTCGTTGTTTAGAATTTAATCAATAAAAAAATAATGTATACGTTTTTTCTCTAAACATAACGGAGAGTTCTAAAAAAAACTCTCAACGTACCACAATAGTACCTTCTGGGTGGTGTGGAAATTTACTGATAAATATATAACGAATGCTTAACAATGTAGATCAAAAACTTTTCTTCCTCACGAAATTTTGGTCACCAACCTCTCCGTACTAACAGATGAAACTCTATTTTTAAGTAAGAACAGTATGGGGTTGGCGCGCGGAGCGCACAGGGGAGCGAGGCCCCACTAGCATATATATATATATATATATATATATATATACGTGACGGTATATTATTGTGCGTTGTTCCTTTCTTCAATTGCGTGAGGGGTAGTTGATTATATAAGTCATCGTAATAAGTGGATATAGTCAACACAATCTTGTGTACTAAAAAGTATATACATGACGTTCTAACCTATAAAAGGGTATCAACAAAGCAAGAACGTACATATATATACTTACACTAATGTAGCACAAGAGCTAGAAGATTCTTCTGCGCATACGCTAATTTGCATTGCTGGAAGAAAATTGGTAGGCGAAAAACACTTACCAGGCACTGACATAATTCTGACTTGTGGTCTTAGTACGGATAATATCCTTACCACGTACTGAAAAAATTATAACTGCTTGTGGTAGGGGATTTTTAACGACAAAGGTCTTTTTGTGTACAGACTTCGTTTCTATCCAGTTCTCTCTTTTATTAAAGATATATAATGTTATTCAGTTTTTGAAAATAAAAAATTAAAAAATGGTATTTTCCTGAAAAGTTACAATATCTCCATAAACGTAGCTTTTAAAAAAACTAAAATGTTAGGTAAGCTTAATGAGTTGAGCTTACATTCTGTAAGAAATATCTGAAGCCTTTATTCGCTATGCGCATATGTCGGGTGGCGCCATTGAGTGAGAGAAATTGTCCCTCGCTAAGATCGCCAGAATGCATGGAGTCTTATAGGAAAATTTTTTAATAATTTGAAAAGAAGGTCATTAAGAGTGAATTGACCAAATGAATCAGTGATTTGAGTGTGTCTTATGTTAGTGTACAGTAATAAATTTCGTTTGGTATTGCCATGTGTACTACAAGATTGGAAAAAATGAAAACATGGATTGTGACTATGAGAACACAGCATATTTGAGTGCATACACATGCTTACACTTGTGTAAAGCTAGAAAAACATGAGTTATCCATGAAAACGTAGTATAAATGTGTAAAAGTTAACCTAACCTGTCATTAGTATTAATTTTTATTGAACACTGTGTTGTGAGAAATAGATAAATGTAAGCAGTACTTGTGTTTTTCAAGCTTCATACAAGTGCAAGCACGTGTGTACCAATACATATGTTGTGTTAGCACAGTCGCAATCCATATTTTTGTTTTTTCTAATCTTGTAGTACATATGACAACACCAACCAAAACTTATTACCGTACATTAACATAATACACACTTGAATCACTGATTCATTTGGTCAATCCATTCTTAATAAACTTTTTTTTAACTTATTAAAAAGTTTTCCTAGAAGGCTCCATGCATTCTGGCGATTTTAGCGAGGGACAATTTCTCTCACTCGACGGCGCCACCTGACACAGGCGCATAGCGAATACCCTGGCAATGAATAGTATTCTTCCGAATGAATCTGTAGCCTTGAAAAGTTCTGAAATCCAAACATAAAAACGGTCAAGTTCTTTCTTGCGCATCATACATTTTGTACAACACTTGTATTGTAAATCTATTTAGTACTCGTACTTTAACAAAATCAAACTAAGTCAAGTTTTTTTTGTGCAACATACATTTTGTATAACACTCTTTTTCAAACAAGTCAATATTACTTAGTTTGATTTTGTTAAAGTACAAGTACTAAACAGTATTATAATACAATCGTCTTACAAAATGTCTGTTACAGAAAAAAAAATTGACTGTTTCTATGTTTGAATTTCAGAACTTTTCCAGGGTACAGATTCATTAGAAAGAACACTATTCATTACTAGTGTATGAAGGCTTCAGATATTCCTTACAAAATATGAACTCAACTTACCCAACTTACTTAACATTCAAGTGTTGTTCAAAGCTATTTTTATAGGATGTTTAGTACTGATATATGACTTCGTGAAGTTAGTTTAAGCATATGAAGTAGTAAGTTTTTTTCTCAATTTCCTGTATTAGGAAAAACTACACAAGTACTTGCCACTGGATAGTATAGACACCTTGGAAGTGATTCAGCAATATGTCCATTTATGATTTTTATCTAGACATCTTCAGCAGTTTTTAGTTTCGCTTTTAAATGAAAAAGCGCATGTTTCTTTCTCGTAGAAAAAACATGTAGTAAGCCAAGTAGGAATTGATTTCAATTTTCTTGACTTTAAATCAATTCTCTTCTTCTACTTTATCCCTACTACTACTTTTCCTCTCGCTCTCCCTTTCTCCCTTTAACCCTCTGTTTCTCAGTACGTAAAAGTTAGTAAAGCACGATAGGAACAATATACTTGTCTAGTGCAGCTCGATGGAGGGAGGAATTAATCTCTTAGTGATGACCACATAAACTTTTTTATTCCATAAGATTTAACATAATTTTGTAGAAAAAATGTGGAAACTATCAGTTCTGCCATGCACGTGGCCAATACATAAGTTTTTACATCTATATAGGGATGTAAAATAATCTTCATACGCTTTTTCTATGTTTTATATAGAAAAAAGATGTGAATTTTTGAGGTTAGAAAAAAAACTGGATGAGATGGACCATATTATATGTCGTATCTGATTTCAGCTTGTCATAGTAGATTAAAAATGAAAAAAAGACGCTTAAAGTTGAATCTTATCTTTTAACTCGTTAGATTCTTGAGTAATTTTTTTTGTCGTAAATGTTGTTAAAAGTACAGCTTACCTTTACCGCTTCCTTGTCTTTAATAAAAACAGATCGTAACTGTCCATTCATTTCAAAAAAAACTTCTCGCTCTCCATTTAAAGTAAGATCTTCAGCCATAGCTAACGTCTTTATACCTAAAGTCTTGCCTTTTGCGATGGCCACTTCAAATTCTTCACCAACTTTAGGTCCAGTCAAAAAAATTCTTGTCTCTAGCTTGTCAACTGGTCCAAAAATCTCACGAAAATTCAGAAAATCTTCTGTAACTTTTGGATACAGTGCTGCAGAGATGACATCTTTTTCAGTTATGTGAGGATGTAATTCTTGCAAATGAGCCTTTAGAGCATCGAAATCTAGTGGTGGTAGACTGGCACCTGGTCGGCCAGTGATTCGGGGCATATCTTTCAAGATTCTTGATCTGAAGGAATAAATTTAAAAAAATTTTTGCACTACAAAACAGTTGTAAAATTGTTTTTCTCTAAGATTTATTATGAAATTAGGAATATTTCATTAATTTAGAATAAAAAATTTAATTTTAAAGTTACAATAAAAGGTAAAGATTGACAATCTTAATATTAAAATAATAAAAGTAGAAAAAGGAACTGGCTAAAGCTATTAAAATACCATTTAGATCAACTGGTGTTTTTCTTTACTTACGTTATATAAACAGCTTCAAGCTAACAATATTATAGTTTAAGTAATGTATAAGAAATAACTTATTGGATGACTCTGTTTTGTCTAAAAACAATACTTAAAAATAAGAATTTATCCAAATACATAAGCAAGCAGGAGTAACAAAGAATGAAATATTAATGTTGTCTAACGATAATATGTGATCATAATTAGACGTAAAAGTATATTATACAAAAAGATTTAAAAATTAAAGTTCTAAAGGTTGTAGTTCCTAATATTTAATCCATACATAAACGAAAATAGTTTTAGTCAAAACAAAAGAAAATTACTTTAGTTGCTAATCGTATTTTTTCCATTATTGAAGTAATTTATTGTTCTTTCATACAAATTTCTTTAAAGAAAATTGTATTTAGAATTATCAGGATACTAAAACTAGTTTCAGAGAAACTACTCAAAAATAGATAATCTTACTTGCAAAATCCGGATTTAAACATCAACTACGCAGTGGATTAGTTAAATTATAACTGTCTTCCAGTTTAATTGATAAGCGATTATTTGAGAACCAAGAAGTAGACAACTATATTTCAATATTGCGTTTCAAGAAAATTTATTAGGAAATACGCAAGAATAAGGAAAATATCCTCCCCGGTTGCGGATCGAGCACACATACTGCTGTTTTCTAGACAGTTGCTCTGCCACTTAAGCTACCAAGGTGCCAATCTTAGATGAATTGTCATTTTTAATTTTTGAGCTGTTTTACCTCAAGTTCAAATTAAAATAGGTATTGTTGTAAATCAGACTTTGGGTGTACAGATAGCGCAAGCGTAGAGAGAGTTAAACGGATGCATAGACTGATGCAGAGAGGACAACTCCTGGTTGAATAGCGTGTATGTTGTACTGTGCAAGAAGAGTTTCTCTAAATGCGAGTAAAATAAAGAGAAAGACTTTTGTGTATGCGAGGTTTGATTATTAAAATAAAATGTGGATATAATCTGGTATTGTTCCTGCTGATTCACTAAGTCAACCACTGCTTCATGTCCCATACAAGTTGCATCCTTTAAGTACAGTGCATGGTTATGAGGAGGATGCTTCGTGTACACTGTGAAAAAGGGAAAGAACTTAAATAAGAGCAGAGCAATCACGAGACACGAAAAAGAGATCAACGTACAGGTCATGCCTATAGTGTCGTGTATGACTGTATATATATATATGTACATAGGCACTGCAGCTGGATGATGCAAGCCAGTTGAGATGCACGGTGTCTTCTGAGAAAAGCCGTATTTTGTTTTTGGGATGACACGTATGCTTTCTCGATGACATTGATGCTTATATTTATAATACCAATTCATAATTTATTTTTTTTTGTGTACGGTGTTTTGGATAAATGTTTAAAGTCGTCACTAATGTGAAGAGAAAGAGGCTATTTTCATCGCTAAATTAATAGTATAAAAAGAGAAGATACGGAGTTAAGAGAATTACTTTAAAACCAAAATACACTGAGTCGGTGTAAGATCTGTGGTACAAGTGTAGCATCTTCTTGGTTTTGAGTATATTTTTGAGCAAGCATCTGATGTGTGTGGCACGTGCACGTACATCTCTCCCTGGAAGTTTTCTCGTTAGTGGTACTTGGAAATGAAGCGTGAGAGAGTGTGCGTGTTGCATGTACTGGTGTGTGTGAAAAGTACAATAAATTTTTAACGCTTTAATTTTGAATTTGCGGTGTAATTTAAAAGTGTTGAATACACTTTGATGAAATTGCCTCATAAACATAGAGATATAATTTTCTCTGTTCTTACAAATGGAAACAAAAGAGTCACAGTCTAAAGATAAACAAGAGAAAAGACAAGAGACAAACACAGGCCTTGAAGCGAAAGGTATTGTGTATTTTAAAATAAACATTGGATATCCACTAGACTAATACGAATAATTTTGTCATAAATGTTTATATTAAAATAATAAAATAAATAATCGTGTTTCATTATACCACAGGCCAAAACATCGTACTTAAACAAGTCCAAATGCCAGAAGAAATTAAATCAGAAGTTTATAATATAGACAACTTTTTGATGGATTCAGAAAAAGAGATGCTTCATTAGCTGAAACAAAGAGCGATGATTGGCAATCCCTTAGCAACTATGGAATATAAGAATCTCAAAGGGATACTGGAAAAGCACGCAAGAGAAAGAGTGATGAAGAGGAACGACTGGTGAAATTTCATTGAGAAAGTAATAAAAGACAAGGAGTCAAGAGAGGCTAAGAGAAAATCGGAGAAAGTCAAATAGTTGAAAAAAGACGCAAAAAAATGATAAATAAATAAGCTAAAAGAAGTTCTAAAAGGAGAAGAGAAGAGGAATAGAGCCACTTCCAAGAGCTACTAGCAATAGCCAAACAAGAGAACGAAACTCTAAGGTACACCCTAGAGAGCCGCACAAGAAAGCTTAATGCTATTAAAATTCAGGTAAACCCTTTACATTACTCTATTGCCACCTATGATGATTTGGGACTTTCTGGTTTTGATTTATCTGTAATAAGCTCCTCTAATAATTTACATTTGAATTATAAAATTTCTAACGAATTAAACGACATATTAAATAGTTTGAAAAATTCCATTGAAACGAACAAGATTATTTATGTTCAGAGAAATCCTTATTTAAACTGTAATTATGATTTTTATATTTGGTATAATAAATGAAAAATGGAATTAAGTTCTAAAGAAAAACTGAAATAATTGCTTCTATAATACAAAAACTTTTGAACATAGTAAGAGGAAAATAATCGTAAGGGAGATAACTGTTAACCATGATACTTAACACAAACTAATAATAAAAATTCCAGAACCAAAAGAAATTTTAGAAAAATAGTAAAAAAAGCAATAAAGATTAAAAATGACGTGACTTACATGTCAGTCAGGAAAATGCTTTACGAATTACAGATAATAAAAAATAAGGGAGTAGCTGTATTTTGTCACATATTTGATAATATAATAAAAGAAAACGAGTGTAATAGTAAAGCAATTTATCTAATGAACGTGGACGAACATTATACATTCCTCTAAGCACTTAGTAATGGAATTCCAGAGATCACTATTTATAGTATCTCATTTAAGCATCTCATTACTGCTTGAACCAAGCACAGAAGAAAGCAAATCAGGCTATGAGTCAAGAGAGAAGAGCCTATATGACCACCTGGCAGCAAGCACATAGGCAAACAGGAGACACTTCAAATAACCCAAACAACCGATGCCACCGGTATGGTGAGTTTAGTCATTGAAACTACGAATGCCACATTCAAGAGGGAAAGAGGAAGTACTTTGCATTCAACGAAGTTCATGAACAAGAGCAAATTTATTAAGCTTTAAGGCGTTTGAGGTATGAAAAAAAAAAAATCTAACAATTTTCATAATCATAAATGGAGGCAGTAGAGGAATGTCTAGGGGAAGCTAAAGAGGAAGAGGTAATTTTAACAATAGTAAAAGAGGAAAATCAAACGGTGGCTTAAGGGGCAAAGAGAGTTATACTAGAGGTAGGGTAATAAAAAAGGAACAGGAGGGTACAACAACAACATATCGCAAGTCGCGCTAGCAGCAGCAAAAGCAGCACTGGCAGCTTAAAAAGAGAAGACACAAATAACAAGTAATAGTCCTCAAGTCTTATAAAAGAAGAATAGTATAACGTTTTTGGCAGATTCAAGAGAAAAAAAGTATATTGTCAATAAGAGCTGAACTTTAAGTGATTTTCAAAATGCTCGAATGCTATTATAAAAAGTGCTAATAAAAATCAATTTGTAGATATCGAGATAGACGGTAAACGAGATCTTGATCTTAAAAGTAAAAATAACAAAATATAATTAATGAATGTATTGGCCACTGAAAACATATCTGAAAATTATATTTTCTTAAGACAATTCGCAGACTTAAGCTCAGGTGTGTACTTAGATAATAAGATATCAGAAATTATTGATAAAGTTACGAAAGAGATTTACTTATTGAGACATTACGAGAACCCAAACTGGAGAATTAATTTCCCGGTCAAAAATAAAAATAAAGAGCCGCACGAATATTTTACATATATATGCAATGCAGATATTATTTCAGAGTCTTATTTTATCAAACAATCTCAGAATAAATCAGAATTGCTCTAAAAAAATTGGAAAGAGTACATGTAAAAATTTTGAACATTTTGATACAATCAGAATTTGAAGACTAGAAATCTTCTAACTCAAGTTAAAGAAGCACCATAAGATCTTGGATCTTAATAGAGACAACTGATAGTAGAGAAAAACCAAACTGAATCTGAAAATAAAAGAATCCGAACATCTTCGAGACTACACAAAACCAAAAGAAATGATATTTTTGTTTATACTGCAGAGATAAATAGCAAAGAGACCTTTAAAGTTAGTCCTGAACAGAGATATATAGTGCTGGCCAATGTGATAGAGAATCCTAGTAGTTACAAAGAGGCTATACTAAGCAAAAACAAGAGTCTTTGTGAAAAAGCAATAGAAGAAGAGAAACTGTTCTTAAAAAAGAAAAAAGTTTTACCAAGTTTTACCATGTGACACTAACATACGAAATCCCACATGGATAATTTTCCAAAATAAATGCCGAAAGAATAAATAGTTTCTTACAAAGCTAGACATGTGATAAGAGAATACCAAGATGTTAACGAATGTGAGATCGGAGATGTATATGCACACATATATATATATGCTACAGTATGGAGATTGACAATGATCAGATTATAACGATCTGTCATACATAAAAAGAATCTTAAAGCTAGACAATCA